CCTCAACAACAAATTTAATGAGTGATTTAGTTTAGACTGACTTTAGAGTCCCTTGAATTTTACAAAGTGCTTGATTACAGAGGTTTACTTACTTTTTAAATTTGAAAATCAACACAAGAACACTTTCATAGGGTTTTCCTCAATAAAACTTTTGCAAAATTCAAAACATGTCAGGACATTATAGAATTCCTAGTCAGAGTTTTGTGTGCTCGCTTTTTTTCAATAACACTGTCGAAAATAGAAATGATTCAAGCAAAATGCCGGTTTAATTCTGATTACAGTTTGATACTAATATTCAGTTGTGATTACCATCTCCATGCGTACTAAAATAATGTTTATCTTCCCCTGTGTATCAGCATGTCCAACCTGCAATGATTTCCACGGACTTGTGCAGAAAATCATGGAACTGCAGGATATTCTTGCGAAAACATCAAGCAAGGTAATGTAATGTTACACAATGAGACATTTCCTGTCGAGCAAACCTGAAGCATCTTGTACAATTAAAGTAATTACAGCTTGGAATAAATGGATATGGTAAACAAAAGGCATCTCATTTCTACCTATTGGGATTTTTTTTCTTCACAACAGGCTAAAGGAGAAATGCTAACGTGAGATTATTAGACTGTCCGTGTTTCAATTTATGATCCAGAGACTATTATTCGGAACGATTTGAATGGTTTCCAAGCACTGACATTTATAAAGCACTGGTTAGCTCTCTACAAGCAAAACCTTGATACAGAGTTAAACTTAAACTGTTTTTCCTCCTTGTCTTCTTTTTTTCCCCCCCCTCCTTTGGGGCACGGGTGGTGGTTGGCTGAGCAGCTGTCCAGAGCGGAGGAGAAGATGAATGGGCTTGATGGTTGCTATTGTGAGCGAACCTGCAGCGTCAAGGGGGTCGTCTACCGGGAGGACGAGGGCTGGACAGATGGCTGCAGGAACTGCACATGCACGGTGGGGCCTCAGACATGGCTGTTGCGTGACTCTGTGTGTGTGTGTGTGTGTGTGTTAGACAAATAAAAGGCATTTATATTTAATGAAGTGCCCATAAGTGTGTGTGAATCATTTGTGGGCTTTTCATTGCAATATGTGGTTGTGCGTTGACGGGGACCAGACTGTGCTGTGAGAGAAAAGGCTGGAAATCCATGTTTGAACTGTCCGTGTTGGTGGCTGAGAACGGGCCTTTTTAATTGCTCGTATATTGCTCTTGCTTGTGTGCGCAGCTCGGTCTTTGTGGGTCCATGGCTGGAATTGCTGGAGTCTCCCTTTGTTTTGCTTCTCTGCTGCTCAAGTGTGTGAGGAAAGGGGAGCGTGGCATTTGTGTTTGGGTGTTGCAGAGAACAGGGACCCCTTTGTGGGCAGCTTGTGTTGTCATCGTGCCATTATATTAGAGGAGGGGTTGGCCCAGATACCCGTGAAAAGAGAACCTTTGCCTTGTTCGGGATTAGACACATGAACAGAGGTGCTCAGTGATGCTTCTGTCTCTCATGGGCTTAAAAACCCCAGAGATCTCAGGCTTGAACCACATCAAAAAACAGACTTTGTCAGTCTACTCAGCTTTGCGTCTGAGTGTAGTCCCACCGGCCAATTGGATGTCTTTGCACACCACTATTCAACATGCGAAAAAAAAAAAAAAAAGGAAATCACATGTCTGCACGTAATTGCTCTTGACAGATGATAATTATCATCAGGGATTTGTTCAACCCACTCATCCAATGAGATGGCTTCATTCAGCAGGAACGATATTTTGCCATTACCCGGCTGCAATTAGGGAATTAGATGGAATATGTTCCTTACCTTATGTCGGGCAATTAGCTTTGACCTTTTATATTCAAAGGTGAAGCATTAAGATGTCATCAATTATGTGGATCGGGCTCATGGATGTTGCTGTCACAGAGCTTTCATCTGTGGAAATGATGTTAATCACAGGCATTGCCTGAAGAGGACAGGGTGTACAAGAATATCAAATAGTTTATAATGTTTGTTTTATTCAAACGAATTCTATACAGTTGCATTATTGTGTTTCTTTTCATTTGTTTTTTAATAGGCAACAGAGGTAATGGTGATGAGCACAGCACCACCATTTATGTCATTTCAGACTAATGTGAAGACATTTCTCTGGAAATCTCTTAAACAGAGTTGTATTCATGTGAGGGAGCCTATTTAAGTTGATAGAAGTGGAATGGACAAAGCACAAACCCCACAATGAACTGCAACATACAAATAGAAATACTTGCATATGGACTGTCAAGTTCAATAAACACCTCTTTAAAACAAAGCTGAACACTGCAGCCCCTAGAAAGGAATTTTCAGGGGACTGATGTGGGAGACCAAATTTGGACGGAATTAATGTACGGCATAGCAGCATCTTGGCCAGAAAATCAGGAATCACCAGTCTATGAAAAGGTTCATTCAGGCGTCCATTGAACAAGTGATCTTGCATCATTCTTGCTTTCTTATAAAATAATAACGTTTCATGCCATTTTTACAGACAGAAGAAGAACCATCTAAAAAATGTAGGAGACGAATGTCTGCACAATGGTAGAATTAGAATGAGCATGAGAGATATTGCTGGCAAGCCACCTGGCTGGTCTACAGGAAATATGGCCCCAACAACTGAGCTGACAAGGAAAACAATGGAAAGAATTAAGAATATCCTATAAGAATGTCCTTGGGCTCAAAAGATGTTGGTTCTTCCCGGTCAAACGAGTGTAAAATTGGAGAAAGCACAAACAAAATGGAGCAGTTGTAAGCGGATCCTACAGGTTAACCGAGGGAGACGTCAAAGAAGACTCAAAGCAATATGCCTCAAAGTGAAAGTGAAAGCGCACAACAAAAGAAAAGTAAACTAATGGGTTGTGAAAGAAGAATTTTCTGAGGAATATGAGATTCACCTTTAGATAAGGCAAAAGAAAGAAAAAAACTTAAACAATAGCGAAGGACTCAGCGAGCCAAATAGATGCAGCCATGGATGAAAGTGATGTTTTTCTGCTGAATCTGCACTCAGAAAGGGTGCTTCATCTTTTTTCTGGTGCAGGTCCGGCTATACATATAAAACAGACCCATTTCCACAATAACAAATGATATGGGATTGAAATCAGTTGAAGATGGTCGTCATACCCTCCAATACACAGATGGACTTTGAAATTTAGTCTCTTCTCATTTCATCATTTGTAAGGAACATTTTCAGGTTAACAATGTGTCCTGCTACAAAAGAGTATTTGAACGTTCCTTCTGAATAGACAGGTCAGCTCAAGTTGAAAATACCATCCTGTAATGCTGACCTATCTGCTGCATTATATATAATGAAGGATTCATAATCCAAACCTCAAAGATTTCAAGCAGTCACTGTTGAATGCAATTATTATGAGTCGTAACTGAGATCTTTGACTAGCGATGGATGTCCTTGAAATATGATAATGATGCTATCCCTATGTCTTATTTTCAGGGGTTGTCATAGAAATTACACAATGTTGCAAGTTGAAGTTCACTTACAAGCATTTGTCATTCTTATGAATGTCATCTCAATTTACAATGTCTTTGCTCAGATCATGCAATTAGCTAACTATGAAATCAACGTAAAAGTTGCTGCCCCGACACATATGTTTTATATTGGATGTTCTAATTAAATAATGCGTTTTTCTGCCCTCACCAGAACGGCACAGTACAATGTGAGGCCATCTCCTGCCCTCCCCCTCAGTGCCCTGCAGGCACGGTGCCTGCCTACGTGAAGGGGGCCTGCTGCAAGGAGTGTCAGCGTGAGTGGAGAACTCTTAACATCCGCACCTTCCTACACATCTGAGATCATGGACAAAAACATACACACACACATACATTGCAGCACAACAGCCTTCACCAGCAGATCCACAGTGCACACGACGCCTCCACAAGGGCTGGCTGACAATTGACCGGGGCTCTTCTGTGTTGCTAAGCTACCTCCTAACATGTCCCTGGAGATGAGTTCATCCTTTTGCATATACATGGCCCAATCAATTATTCACTAGCTGGCTTCAAAACACAGATGGCCACCAGTCACACAGACGTGAGCCAGTAAATCTGGGATCACTGCATGTGATGTAAAGTAGTCCGTATTTATGGCTTGACATGTTGCATCTGTGCGAGAAGTGAGGAGGAAAGAAATGTTAAAGGGCCTGAGATGATTCACATGCTAGCACTATCTTTATAAATGTCCATTTTTTAACTTTTAGCACCAATGTCTTCTGGCTGGAGGGATGAATAATTCTTTTTCATCACACTGCTGCATAGGGGGGTCGGTTTTTTTTTTTTTTCCAAAAGACTGAGCTAAGCAATGAACTCTTATTAGCCTTCTCACAGCAGCACTCTGCATCTCATATTCTTTCAATTCCCCTCTCAATAAAAATAGATTTCAGTCTATATTCTCACACCAGAATTGTTTCAATGGTAGCCGTGATTAAAAAAGATAGAAGAAAAGGGAGGGGGGGGGGGCCTGCCAGTGTGCGGATCAAACTCCAGTATGCAAATTACAAACAGAAACTTTTCACCTTTGTTTCAGAGTCACACATGCAATGCGCAAGCTCACCCATAAATGGCAGAAATAATGCAGCACACTATGTGTGCATAATATTTCTTCGCAGATTTGACTTCACATCTTGTGGAGGGCTGACTTCCTTTGAGAACCCACTCATCACAAACGCCCACACGCTTTCTCTGTTGATCTCTCCTCCTTCGCCAGCGAGCAGAACGGAGACACAATTGAACGCTATCAGGGAGAAACCATTAGTCCTCCAGATTGTAATCACCCCGCGTCAGCATCATTCCCACTGACCCTGGGGGTCGGGGATTCGAACACAAAAGTTTTTAAGCGGGCCTCCCTCAGCCGCTGCGTTGCACAAATAAAAAACACGGCGCAGGTAATACCCTTAAACTCAACCCACCCGTGGCCACTTATCTAAACGAGGTAGACAAACACACAGCTAATTACGCATGCTCTGGAGAGAAGAGCGCCACAAGTTTCTCCACTACAAAGACACGACTCGCTCTCCCAATTAAAGCCTTATCTCAGCGCAAAGCAATGCAGGGAGGAGCTCTGTTTTTTTCTCTTCTCTTTTTTCGATTGTCTGTCAAGTAGTGCGTCAAATGGATGTTTGAGAAGTTTTCCGCCTTCATGCTACACAGCTTTGTGATAGCGCCTGACCCGCGGTGTCAATCATCCCTGCCCCTCGTATCAGTCTGAATCTGACTGACCCCAACTGCTCATCAAACGCTCTCCTTCTGCCCATGCCGCCCATGTGATTATTTTTGAACACTCCTCCCCCACACCCCCCCCACCCCTCACAATCACATTAAACAGCTTCTCCTCAGCGCTCTCTCTCTCTCTGTGTTATAATTATGTCATCATTTTTTTTTCTGTGCCACTCTTGAATTGGGTTTGACATGCTTGATTTGCTTTGGCTCGCATTTACCTGAGGCATTTCAACCAAAAAGCTTCAAAAGGCCAAAAAAAACAACAACCAAACATGCCCTGCATGTCAAAACGCTCGGTGGGAAACATTTGTGTGTTCGCTGTAAACATAGCTCCAGAAATGGCCAGTCTGCCAAAAATATGAATAACATGAGTGTAATTAAGAAGCAAGAGAAAAACTATCAATAGTACAGATCAAGCACTATGTGTATTTTTTATTATTCATAGCCGAGGGTCATTCCAGGCATTATTAATTTAAACATTTTGCAAAAGATTGATGAATGCAGTCATTTTGATCCTCATGATTAAATTGGGCCTTGAATATATGTAACGTTCTTAGTCAGTCAACAGTGTGTCTGAATCTCAAACTTAGGTATTTCCTTTTTAAAAAAAACTAATTTGTCTTTCTCATAGCATGCACGTTTTTACAACCAGCTGAATAACAAAAGCTGCCTTTCCCTGTCATGGTATTTACTCTCTGTTTACTGAGTAAAACCCCTTGGAGGCATGTAGTGCTCTAGCTTAATCTGTTGGCTAAAAGAAGCGTAGATGTCATGTGTTAATTACCCCTCTTGTGCTTTTTCCTGACCTTTTCCAAGAGTGGACCCAGTAACATTTTTGTACATCACCTTTAACATGGCTGCTGCAGTCACCTTAACAGACACACACGTACACACAGACACACACACACACACACACACACACACACACACACACACACACACAGGAGTGGAGGGTTAATTTGGCTTCTGATCAACTGCTAACAGGGATGCAACAGATCACCGTGTTAAATGGATAACAAAGCCGATCAAACTGTCCTCCTCACCCTCTGCGGTTTCAGATACAATAATTAGGTACAGCTTTTTTTCCCGTCCATTTTTTAGGCCAAAATAGAAACAAAAGCACTTGAGCTAGAACTGAAGCTTTGAAAAAATGTCAACATATTTCAGCTGCATCCATCCATCTCCATTTTCTTGAACAGAATGCAGCAGGAATGTTGGCTTGATAGATTTTTTATGGCCAAATGGCATGCTGTTATGGGAAAATTGTTCTTCTTCGAGGGGCTTGCAGTGGTTTGTACAGCACTGCAGCTTTTCAGCTAACCAGCAGCTGCGATAGTGGAAGGTTGTTGCCCGGAGATGAAGGAAAGATTTCTGTTTTTCTTGGTTTACATCAACGAGGTTGTTACTATCGAGCAATAAAGCCCTCCCACTTCACACTGACTTTGTTATAAGCAACCACTAAGTGCCATATTTTCTCGTGAATATGAAATGTTATGATATATTGTTGTGAGACTATTTTCCTTCTCCATATGGTGTATGGCTATTTCTAACATTTTCACTACCATTAAAACAAATGGCGTAAAAAAGGACAACAAAAGTAAACTGTGTTTGAGTTTGGCAAAGAAACAGACTCTGTGAAGCCCGAGGCAGTGGAAGGTGGATCTATTTCGTGGAGGCGATTTTTAGTCCATGCCCAAAACAAAATGCAAAAACTCACACAGCAATAGCATCACACCAGAATCCTTTCTCCACCTTGATGCAAAGTGCCTAACAGTAAAGCAACTAAACAATTTCTCATCGGTTCCATCAAAAGTCGCTCAAAATTGAATCTGTTATTTTATGCGTCAAGCTAAGTTTTTCTTCTCCGATCATTTTTAGCAGCCCATTTACAAAAAGCGATCATGTATCAGTATTGCGGCTTATGTAAGAATTATGCACCACGTCAGTTAAATGTCTGGGCTCTTATTATCAGAGGTAATGAAGCTGCCTAACAATTATGCACACACATTAGCATTGTGTGTTCATCACTTTGAGTCACACTCTAACTCATTACTCCAATTTAGCATTCTTTATTTATTCGAAATTATCCGAAAGGGATTCAGTTCAAACAGGAATTCAAGTGTGTGTGTAGGGAATGTGTGTATGGAAAACAATGAAGCATCAGGCTCCCAGTGTCTTCTACTCAAATACAAGTTAGACGGTTGTCTTTCCATATATGACAGTCTGAAACACCAGCAGTTGTTTTGTTAACATCTGCTGTACTTTAGACAAGTGATGCACTTTTAAATGGGATTTGCATGTGTATAGTGCACCTATTTACATGTCTGCGTATTGTTCCATTTCTATGCTTGCAGCTGTCTGTTTGTTTGGTGGAAGAGAGCTGGTGGAGGGAGATCAGAGGGCTGTGCGTGACTCCTCTGGCAGGTGCCTGCTCTTTGAATGCCGGGTAAGTCATCGGCTCACAAGGACAAACGCTTTTCCACAGCTATTTATGAAATTTTTATCAAAATACTCTCCAGAGGCGTACCCGGCTGTAACTCGTCGGAACAAACATCCTCGCCGTTTTAATGACCATGTCAGAGTGCCAGCTCTCTAAGCTCATCGCATCTCTAAAGTGCTCGGAAATTCTGTGGTCTCCTTGGTCACCGTCCTCTTTGATTATTAATCCACACCAGTGTACAGCTCCCAATGACTGGATTCTCTGGCTTTTTAATTACTATTGTGGCTGAGAGCTAAAGATGTTGGGGAAAATGTTTCAAAACTAAAGTGAAAACACGACAACCCCGCTGGCTGCTGAGGATCTTTCCAGGGTTGACCTGCCAGAAACTCTCATGCAGCAGCATTGGAATTCCACACACGCGAGCTCCATTTGGCTGCTCGCAAGCAGGAGTTTTTTTTTTTTTCCAAATCTAATCTGACTGCCGTGGCAGTTTCATGCGCTCATCCATCCTTGATTGTGAGTGCACCGTCTGCGCTGCAATATGAAAAAGACAAACACTACCTGCTCCTAAAAGCAAGAGGAATCGACCCATGTTTCCCAGCACCATGCAGGGGGGGGGGGGGGGCTTGGAGACAAAGCAATGCCGAGAACAGTCATGAGACTCTCCAGCCATTTTTCAGTGCCAATCACCAGAGAAAACGTGGTCCCTAATTGGTTTCATTTCCTAATTATTCCAAATATTTGCTCTTGTCTGCCTGCTGCACCAGATGGATGGGGAGCTGGCTTTTGGGAGTAATTTCAGCTGATGACATTAAACCAGGCGGGCTCAATCAATCACACCAAAGTGATTTGAAGTTTTTAATCGCCCGGCTCCATCATAACGAGCGGCTCCTCCACGAATTCGGCGCGGCGCCGTTAGGATCTGCAGCTGCAGACAGCTGCCCGGCCCCGCCTGGACACACCTGCTCCATCTGCGGTCCCCGGCAAAGCGAGCGTTTTTTTTTTCCAGGCAGATCAAAGCGGAGAGGACAGGGAGTGCTGTCAGTCAGCCCGCTCCCGCAGACTCCTGCAGGCTTCCCCCGACAGATGCTTGTCACGCCTCTGATCTTCTGTATGCCTGCCGACTGCAGGGGGGGGGGGGGGGGGGGGGGCAGGTTCCAGGGGTGGTGTGGCTGTGGATGGCCGAAAAAAAAAGTTTCACACAGATCCGTGCAGATACACAGATTGTGTATGAGCTGAGAGCTTTGCATGTTAGATGTTCTTTTGACTGGATAGATGGTTTTAGATTAATGGCTGAGGAGATTTCAGGTTTTTGCTGAGTTTAAATTAGCCCCTGTTAAACTAAAACATTAGAAAGGCGTTCCACAGGCATGCAGGGGAAAGTCCAGAGAAAAACACACATACAGAGATTATCCAAAGGATTGATTCGCTGTTTGTGGCCCTAAATAAA